CTGGAAAAATTGTTCATTTTTTTGCTTTCCTGGGTCTTTTTTCCCCAAAAATATTCAAAGTATTCACCTTTCTTCCCATCTACTCCACCTCTCTTATAATCACTTCATTTTTCAGACTGATTTTAACTTCCCTCTGTACACAGGAGCTTGATATACACAGCAGAGAAGAAAAACTTCACATCCTTTCTAGAACAGAAATGTGGAAAGTTTAGACAAGCTTTTGGGCACAACCTTTTATCATATCTGGTAACTAAACAACTCAAGCTAAGCACAGGTTAAAAGCAATTTCTCTTAGTTTAATCTCATTATGTTAATCAACTCTTTTACTACATGCACAACAGCTGCAGTGCCAATGAATAACTTCATTTCAGTGCCTTATAAAATGTTCTTTTTTTCTTTGCACCTCCTCCTCATCTGCTCTAGAACAACCACAGCTGGTGGCTTACAGCTATGGGTTAAAATCCAGCACAGAGATCCCAGGCACCTCATTCATCTGTCTCTTGGATGGATGTGCTCTGTAACTTCCCTTTTATAAACAAAGACTTAATCCTGGTGGAGAAAAAGAGTGAGAAATATTATATACTAGAAAATTTTAAAGTTTAGAATATAGTAATATATATAAAGCTGAGATAGAAATTTTAAAACAGTAGTTAGTCCTTCTTCACCTTCTTCTTCATAGGTTTGAGTAGTATTGTATAATTAGACAAAAAAGTCCACATTACGAGACATGAGTAATTAGTTATTAAGTTAAAAGTAAAAATAATTTAAGTTTCATTTCTTAATTAAGTAGTTTTTCCTGAAAAGACCTTACAAAAATAGATAGGGAGCCATTTTGCAGCTTATTGGTAAAATACTGTAAAACTCATAGAAAGACAGAAAAAGATGGAGAAAAAAGGAAAACAAGAGAAGCACCAATTCCATAGTGAAAAGCAGAATGCATTGAGCCACAGATTTTAATTTCTGCTCTGAATTAAATATGAAGACCAAGCTGTGACACCCTAAACACATCTACTGTTAGAGCTTTAGCTTTAAGCATTAAATTAGCACCAACAAAAGGCATCTAAATCATGAAAACAATAAAAATAAAAGTGGAAATACATTATTAGTGTCACTGCAGTTATCAGACATGCCCTGTTCTCATACTGGAATAGGAATGCAACGACCAGGACACAAAGGATACATCTTGGAGAAAGGCTTTTTTGGAAGCAGAATCCCCAAATACCTTCTTTAAATATGACTTTCATAAGCACTCAAGGGAGGAGAGCTGTTTTCTGGCTACTTTCCTCTTCTGATTTGTATGTGGCACTTCTGAGGAGGAGCAGACTCAGGCTCAGCCCTAGGGAAAACCTGAGGAAAAGATAAAAATGCTAAAATTTCATATGGGCATCACATCTCCAAAACTGCCCGCTGCTGGGAAACAAATGTTCTATCTTAAACAAATGTTCTATTTTAAACAAATCCATGTGCAGGCTCCAGCAAGACCTTACCTCAGCCCAAATTACCTACCAGGAGTTGTTGCCCTTCCTACAGGCAAGAGATGTTTTTTGAGCACTTTGGTGAAAATATTGCATTTTGTAGGGCTGGCCAGCAAATCCCTGGGATTCAGGAGTTTCCACCTTGCCAGAGAAGGGAGGACAGCAGGAGGATGAGAGCAAAACTCTGCAATTCCCCTGCAGCTCTGCAGTGACACCAGGGACAAAATTCTGCACTTCTTCAGGTGCTGCACATTTCATGCTATGTTCTTGTTTGATCAGATCTCTGAAATTCCACACTTTCCTTGCCCCAAAATATTGCCAACTTCATCCAAACCAGGGAAGCCCTTCATCTCCATACATTTTCATCCATTCTCTTAATTTGGAGGTTGAATATATTATCTAGCCTAGCAACTGATGTGTCAGCAGTTATTGGCTCTAAGGGAATCTACTCGTGCACAGTTCTGATGCCAAAATAAATAATATTTTCCTGCTTGAAAGGGTCCTGCAGACATAAAAGCCATAACTGCATCAAAGAATAAGATATTACTGCCTTAATGTCAGGCCAGCAAGAGCTGCTCTTTAAATATGGACTAAAATAAGTTAGAAAAATGCATAAAATGTTGTTTCATTAGTTCCTCGTTTGATGGTTATTTCTTGATATCACATTCATGGTGAGAGGATAATCCCTTTAGCTCAACAACAACTCATTAACCATGTTGTCTCAATTAGAAATAGCTTCTTTTCTAACAAAGCAAACACCATAAACACTCCTGCCTCCAGCTCATAATGATTTTCTCTAAGTAAATGTATCAGAGGCATAGTGAAAAGGGGGAGCTTGCTACAAAGAGAAATGGCACAGAAATGGAAGATATTTCTGAGCATACAAAGCTCAATTGCTGTACACATTGTGTGAATATTTTTATTGCTTAACAGAAGCCTTCTACTCAGGTGTTGAAGCAACTGCAAATAAAGTTAAATTTTCTTGACTTTCTGACAGTTTGGAGCTTCCCAGTAAAAGGAAATTTGGAAAACTCCCACTTGAAAATGGGAGAAAAGCATAGCTGGGGGAATACTTTTAAACAACTCATGTTTCAGAAACCCAAAGAAAACAGTGCAAAGGAGAAAACTGCTTTTGTGGATCTAGTTTATTAATAAGCATTGTAATTAACAGACAACATGCTGTACAGAAACCTGAAATAGAACTACTGCAAATTGACTGGACTTCAAATGCTGCTGGACTGTAGTATATGGTGCCCAGCTGCATCATTTGTAGAGTGTGGTTAGGGCTGTTTCAATACACAGACATACACTGCTCACTCTCAGATCCTGTAGTATGCCACAGAGCAGGGAGATTTCCCAGAAATACAAACTCAAATATTTACAAGAAATCGTCAATCTCTTTCTTCACTAGGGATAACATAAGTTATACACAATTTTCCTATGTATACCAAATAAAATCTTTGCCTTCAACTTTACTTTGTGTCTGCACAAACCAATTCCTTCCCTTTTATTTACCCAGCTAAATCAGGGTAGTAAACTGCAGTGTGATCATTTAATTGCTTCTCATTGATTAAGGGTCGGTATTCAACCTGCAAAAGGAAAACATGAGAAATCAAATAAAGCCAAGCTTAAATTCTCCAGCTTTAAAACCTCAGCTTGACTCCAACAACCTTGAGCTAATCAAGCATTACCAGTGGAAACATCCAGGCTCTGGAGCAGGGGAATAGGGGTGGCTTTGGGCTCCCCATGGACTGCAGCTCGCTCAGGGCACCACAGAGCCAAATTCCCTTTTCTGATGGAAATCCCATCAGATGCAGGCCCAGGGATGCCAAGGCTGGGCTCAGCACCACGGGGCTGATGCTGTGTGGAGCTGCCACTCATGAACCCCCAGGGCCCATTAGCACGGGCTCATTGCCATGCTAATTAGCTAAATGACCTGCATCCAGCCAGCTCCTACCCCAGAGCAGGTGCTCTGCAGGCTCTGCCTGGCCAGACACACTGCTCGATTATTCTTTAGAATTAAGTTACACTTCAGAACGCAGCACAGCTCAGGAAAACAAAGAAACAGCATCTCTCACTTCAAACTGTTTGACTTGGGTCTTTCTTTTAACATTTTTTTGTTGTTTGTTTGTATTTTATTTTAGCACAGACTGCTTTAAAATATGGAAATAATCCTTTTTGCAACCCTCAGGAGTGCAACAAGCATGAGTTTGGAGGGGGAATAATCTAGGCTCGACTGTGTGACACATCACTTTGAAGGCAAAGGTTTTCCTTTATTGTTACACCGCATGGAACAAATCTAATCATGTAACTAGCATTGTACTGTATATTGTATATAGAATTGTTTTCTCCACAAATTCACACAAGTAAGATAAAATAAGTTAAATGACTAAAAAAGGAAAAAAAAATACACAAAAATATACAGTCTATGTACTAGATAAATTATTTATATATATGGCAAGATGTGTAACAAGTCTCTAGCAACATTGTTCCTCTGGATACTGACATGCTACTCAGAAAGTGTATTTTTATATATTAGAGTTATAATATATAAAAATGAGGGAATAGTTTATCTCCTGATAGAATGTGTATTTACAATTAATTGTTCTGTAACTTGTTGACTGAATTTTAAAATATCCAACACATTTCCATGGATATAATGTTTAATATTTATAATCAGACTCATTGTCATAATGCTTTTTGTTTAAGTCAATTTTTATTGTTTGGTTTGGGTGTTTTGTTGGGTTTTTATTTGTTTCTTTTCAAAGGAAGGGGCAGGGTTAAATGCTTCTCTATCTTACGCAAAAAACTAAAGTAACCCCTAAATATTTAAATTCAGTGAAGTTTGTTGGGTTTTTTTCCCCTTATCAATGAAAAAAACCAAACCACTAATTCTGGGTCCTTCACTTTTTCCTAAAAAAGTCCTAAAATTGTAGAAATTAATTCTTTGCCAGGAAATTTCTGTTACAATTTTCATCCCTGAAAGAACTGTTGCAGGTGAAAAAACAAGAAAAAAAAAAAAGAGTTTTCCAATGGAGCTGCCAATTCTGTAAACATTTGGTATAGCAGCATCTGTACTAAAAACTAAAAACCTCTGCTTGCAATAGCAGGAATTACTGCCAGCATTATTCTAAATTTGCACAATTAGTGTGTTTGGTAAATCTGTGTAAACTCCAGATAAGCTCATTTTTTGCATATCCCTGAAAATAACTGCCGAATTCTCTCCTCCTGATGTCTCCAAAGCAAACAAAGGGCTTTGTATACATTAGGTATGAATTAATTTGTCAATTTTTTAATTGTCTCAGAATTGGAAATGAGATGTGTCAGTACCCAAAGGATGGTGATTTTTTTTTTCCAGGATTTACATGCAACTGGAAGCCAGTGTGCCACATCTTTTCTAAACATTATTGAAAACTACTTTAAAAAAAAAAAAGGAAAGCAAAGAAAGTACACCATTAGATAATCTGATGTCCATTAATTAAACCCTATCAGTAGGTTAAAAGTGAAGATTTTTTTTTTTATATATTTGCACATAAAATCTAAATGTGGTTTGAATAGATTTACAGTGGGGACAGCGATATATAAAGCTACTTATACCTGCTGGGCACATAAGAGAAGCTCTTTTAGCATTCATTGGAAACCCTCAACAACTTGAACTTCTGTAAATTTTACAAGCAGCTAATATTACAGCATTTTTACACACAGTTTTGTTTATAAATTACAGATTTAAGTTACATTATGAAGCCTACATAGAGTTCTACCCATAGGAAATATTCACACACTGTGTTTCCCCTCCATACAGCTTCGATTGTCTCACTTAATGTAGCAATAAAACAAAAAAGTTATGCATTTTCTTAAAGGAAAAATTTCTTGGTATGTACATACTGCAAATGATGAAATGGCAAAAGACCAACAAAGTACTAGAAGGAAATACTAGAGAAAATATGTGGTTTTTTCATCTAAGAAAGGAAACTCCTTTTCATCCACTGTGGAATTTACCAAGAGAATATATTCTCCAGTACACAGGAAAAAAAAATCCTTCCTCTTTAAAGAGAATCACCTTGAGAGATTTTCAAATAGTATGATTAGGCTTTGCTTATATTAATCCAACTTCCATTACCTAGTTCCTTCTTTCTTTGCTGAGCACTATCAGTCATTCTCTAACAACTAATCCACAATGACAAATACTTCTCAATCTAACAGGTTTGTGATGAAGTAACTAATATGGTAGTTAAACTTTTACTGCATACTTACAATAGGTGAACAGAGCTGTAAAAAAAGACGTACACATCACTATTAAATATTCTTTAAAACACCTGTAGCTTGCTGCCACAACATCAGCCAAAAAATCTACCCCACTTCCTACTGTTTTCAGCAGTGCCCATGTAATTTTCAACTAACAGGAACAGTAGCCAAGCAAGCTCTGCAAGACAAAAAAAAGACCAAAAAAAAAGAGAGAAATAGACTTATGGCTTAAAAAACATTATAAGTATAATACTGTTCCTTGAATTATTATAGAAAGGAAAATCTTGGAAATTAAAAAAAGTTGTTTGTTATTTGTTTCCATTTTTGATCTTGGATATCCTTTCATTGTCAGGTTGTTTATTTCACACAGAAAAGCCTAATTGAGAGCTTTCTATTTCATCTATTGCATTCTTTCAGAGAATAAATATCTGTACATTGAGCCAATGAAAATTAAAATAAAAATCAGTTGTCACGTACATTCTCCTTCTTAATTATATAAAAGATAAATTTTGGTGGGAAGATATACCATCCTTCTGAAGAATTAGATTTTAGGATCTTATTAATTGTATTATGTCAAGCAATCAAATGAGAAATTGCTCACTTGATCTCTAATGCTAAGCAAATGGAAGATGAAATCTATGAATATGCTATAAATTATAACAACAAAGAAAAATTCGAGTAAGCTATTTTTAGACTGCAATATTCCCCCAACCGTACTAAGGAACTGCCTTCAAAGGGAGAAAGAACTGCTGGCAGATATTAGCACTACATGGCCCATGTAGGAAAATGAACAGGATTTTGTTCTTCTGATTGTTTCTGGGTTGTGGGTTCTCTTCCCTATTTTCTGGATTTCACCAAGAACTACAGTAAACACCTTTCAACCAGGTCCTAAGGATTTAGATTTTCTCTTTCAGCTTTAGGATTCTATATACACAAATATTCACAAGCCTAACGAGTTTGTACGCGCCCGAGGAGCGGCGCTAGGCCGTGACCATCCACAGTCACACTTAAAGCCTGAAATTGGGGATTCGTCACATCTGCACTCACAGCTGGTGCTCGTGTACAAACGTGGTGCTGCTGCCAGCCCCCGGCGCCGGGTGGGACGCGGCGAAGTTTGCCAGGGGGATGACCTTGACGGCGTCCTCGGCCGCGCAATGTCTTTCGCAGGTGTTGTAGAACTGGGGCCTGGGCCCTGCCTGGCCTTTGTCACTGTCGTCCTTTGGCAGGGGCCTCCCGAGAGTGTGGCGTCCCTCGGGCCTGGCGCCCCGGCCCCAGCCTTGCTGGAAGCCAAACGAGGGCAGGGAGGGGTTGGGCTGCTGGAACTGCGTCAGCGCCGGCGGCATCCAGCAGTTGTCGGAGTGGCCGAGGATGAGGCACTCCTGCGTGCAGTTCTCAGAGGCCTCGGCCAGAGCTTTCTGCAGGTTCACCTCGATAGCTGGGAGGGAGGAAAAACACAAGGCACCGTCAGGGGTGTGAGGGCAGACACACAGAGGGAATCAAGGTCAGCAAAGCAATCCCCATCTTACAATGATGGCCACAGCTGGGGAGGAGGCATCAACAAAGCAATTCTCATCCTACAATGATGGCAACAGTTGAGGAGGCCTCAACAAAGCAATTCTCATCCTACAATGATGGCCACATTTTGGGAGGAAAAGGCCTCCTCAACAAAGCAATCCCCATCCTACAATGATGGCAACAGTTGAGGAGGAACCCTCAACAAAGTAATCCCCATCCTACAACAATAGGAATTCTATCCCATCCTCCCATTTTGAGAAGAAAGGCCTCCTCAGCAAAGCAATCCCCATCATAAAATTATGACTTCATTTTGGGAGGAAAAGGCCTCCTCAACAAAGCAATCCCTTTCCTACAATGATGGCCACAGTCCGTGAGGAAAAGGCCACTTCAACAAAGCAATCCCTGTCCTACAATGATGGCCATGGTTTGGGAGGAAAAGGCCTCCAGGTGAAGAGCCTCAGTGGAAGTTCAGATGCTGGGGCCCACACTGTTGTCACAGTTCACACCATCATTAAATCTTTATAATACGACCTTGTACACTCGATTTTCTAGATCATACACCTGCTCAGGTTGGAAAACACTTCTCAGACCAGTGAGTCAAACCATTAACCCAGTGCCCCATTCACCACTAAAAAATCCCCAAGTGCCACATCCACCTGCTTTTTGACCACTCCCAGGATGGTGAATCCACCACCTCCCTGAGAAGCCTCTTCCAATGCTTTCTGATCCATTCAGTGAAGAAATTTTTTCCTAATGTCCAAATTAAACCTCCTCTGGCACAACTTGACCACGTCCTCTGGACCAGCCACTTACCTAAAATAATATTTTCACTCCTTGCAATTGTCATTTCTGTAATAAAGCTAAAAACTTTATAAAAATTTAATGCCATTACTTTGGATATTTGCATAGAACTACTTGAAAGAAAATAACATTTTTTTAAATATTCTCTTAAAACTGGATTTTTTTTATTGTTATTCTTTGCTGAAGGCAAAAAAACCCTAAACTGGGCACTGGCCAAGATGATCCATTGGCCTCAAAGAAGCACTCAAGAGTTATAAGAATGAAAGAGTGTAACAGCTATTTTAAAGAGAATTGATTTCTCCATGCATTCAATACTGGACACCTTGAAAAATCAAAGAGTACCAGCAAAAGAAGATGTAACCTCTATATTTGGCGAGTAATCAAAGCAGATTTCTTCAGTAGATGCAAGGTTTGTGCCCTTGAAAAGGGATTATAGAAATTTTAATTTGTTCAAAGACAAAGTAAACTACTAAATCTGAAAGATGTTCATATGTAATACATAAATATTCTTGATCTGTTTCATTTAAATTGTGGCTTTAGCATGGTAGGTAAATTAAAAATTAATGGAATTAAATTTCTGCACATGATTCCTCAAAATAGTTTTAATATTGCAAGCGTTAATTTTATATTCTCTTCCTGTGTTAAATACACCGGAAGTACAGAAGAATATCTGATTGGGTATTTCCTTGTGTTTTCTTTATAAAACTTCCCAGTGAATGATAAATATATATTTTTAATATCTGTCTTAATGAAAATAGCATTTAAAATCAGATTCTGGCTCATAAGCACTGGGGAAGAAATGCCACAAAAATTACTTATAGCAGTGAGAGTGCTGAGTAGGAGCCTCCCACCCTCTGAGCTTTATGTTTAAACAGATGCTGCATTTCTGTTTTAACAAATATTTTGCATGTTGGAGTCTGTGTAAAGCTGCAGAGCACAAACACTTATTTCCATGTTACATCTCAATACAAAGGAATTAAGTTTTTTCCTTCAGGCATTGAAATATATAATGCTGCTGTCCAAACCAGGATACATTTCTTAAAAAATCTACCATTTTTTAGAAGACAGCTGGTTGCTTGTTATAGCATGAATTCTCCATTCTTGATTATTTCTCCTTCAGGATGCTGTAAGTGTCAGCTAGAGGAGTGATTGTTTATAAATGTTATTTTGGTGTATTGCTGGCATTTCAACATGTCCTCAGTCATTTTGCCTAAGTATTTTTCAGTTTAATCCTGACAAAGCTTTGGCATCTTGCTGCTGCAATACTAATCCACTTTTGATGGGCAGTAGGAGACATAAATATGGAAATAATTCAGTGGAGTCTATAGTTACTGCAAAAAAGAAAAGTTTCTAGTGGTAGATTAGTCTAATCTTTCTGTGTCCTACTATCTGCTATTAGAGACATAAATTTAAGTATATACAAGTCCTTTAAGCTCTTTAATTATCCAGGTTTGCTTCTATTCTGATGAAGGCAATCCACTGAAATCAGGTGCAACCCTGACAGTGCATGGAGTTATCCCCATTTTGTAGAGGAACTGAACTTTTTTTGCATTAATTAAAAAACCCTTAAAATGCTTTAAATTCAGTTAAAATGTGCAACATACAATTATTTATTTGGAAATTATACTTATTTGTTTTGAGCTCTTCACTGCAAGCGGTTACAACACTTCTACTGTACTATTTTTCTCAAACTACAGTGAGAAAAATGGTACAGTAGCTGAAACAGCAAAAGGAAGCATTTGACAATAAAAATCTAACATTTAACGTTGGCCAAGGCAACTGTGGAAGAAAAAAGGTCACAAATAAAACAGCCTCCACACCATTTCAAAGATCAGGACAGTAATTTTGTGCCATGTGTTGTCAGACTACCTGGAGACTTGGAACACATTGCCATGTTAAGAATAAGAGTATTCTTAAAGTTAAGAGTCTTGCTTATTCTGTTAATAAAAAGATATTTTAATCTGAGTTCTAGTTTTAGTAAAAAATAATAATAAAAGAAATAAAAAAAACACAAGGAAGAATACCCCAAAGCTTTATAATTATCCTGGGTACAATGCTAAGATATGAATTCAAATTATTTTGTTTTAAAGTTGGGGTTTTTCTAATACAAAAGTCATTTGTATGAAGGATTGTTTAGGAGAAACATCTTTTGTAGAAGTCATAATCTTTCTTTTAATCTTGTTTCAATACTGTTGTCAGAGTATGCTTTCATCAGTGCTTATGGTTAATATCATGTAAAATATACAATTTTCCCTAACTTTGAAAAAAAACCTTTTCTAAGTCAAACAAACAAACAACTTCCCACACCCACAAAGCAGTGACTCTTGGAAAATAACTCAAACTAGAGCAAACTGTAGGAAAATGAATATTCATGGAGCATTATCTAATTCTTGCCTGCTCTTCCAGGCCATGAAACAGCTCTCCTTTTTGTCAAACCCATCCTCTGTTTTCCTTCCATATCATTCCACACCTGTGGGAGATGTGAAGCTCAGTGTTCAGGTGCTCATTTATCAGGGGCTCTGCAAATTGACCACGGCACCTTCTGGCTGCTGCTCTTTAAGCTTCCTTCTATTTTGTTTCTTTGCAAGTGACAATCAAATATTCTGAAAGTTTCCCCCTCATTCCAAAGCAGTAGGACAGGTGATTATTCTGCATAGTGTGATAAGTAATCAGGGGAAGGAAACACCTCTGACATCTGCCTCTACCCATCAAGGAAGAGAAAGTTCCAGCTGTCTCTGAATATTTTCAGAAGAAATGATGGTTCTTGCAAGTGAAATTCAGTGTCTGGTACCATCTTCTCACACAAGACATGACAGTTTTATAAATGGAAATATGAGTTTGCATATTCCCCACATATTATGAATAAAGAGTATATTCCATTGAACTCTTAGCAGTCTGACTAATTTCTTACTTCACTCAGTTCTAAACCCTCAATTTTAGATATTCTTTCCATACTACATGGAGACTCTTCAAACATGACATACAAATAATGCAAAAGAGAATTTTTAATTCATGTAATAGATCACACTCTTGCACATGTGAGTTTACCACTTTGATTTGAACTCCATGTTGTTTTAGGAATGCTTTTTTTTAATTGTCTGCAGAACTAAGAACACTTTTAAAGAAAGTGTCTGTCAGCTCTTAAGAAATGTTTAGATCAGAACTGTCAAATATAACTAAAAACACAACAGTTAAAAGACTTTCTTCATTGTTCCACAGTCTCATCATTTATGGTTCAAAACAGTTTTCAAGAATATTTACCTTCACTCAAGAAAATGTGGAATTTCAGCCTTGCCAGATAGCTATCCTTCAACAAAAACAGATACAAAAAATACCTAAAAAAAGGTATTTTTTGTTTGTTTTGATCAGAGACTTCCTGTGGTTACAAGGTCTGAGTGGGACTTTAGAGGTACTAAATAAAAATATTAATTCTCCTCTTTGCTTTTTGGAGATCTCGACAGTGCTACTCTCCTTCTCAGTCTACAAATGCGGCACAATTCTTTGACATTTCCAGCTTAATATCATGTTCCAGTTTTAAGACTGTTTCTCATGGAAAATTCACAAAGCAAGACAGGCTGTTGGTACGAGTCTGTTACCAGCACCCTCAGAATGTTTGAAGCTACAATTATGGAATCATTTCGGTTAGAAAATACCTGTAAAATCATTGAAGCACACACTTGGTGTACAGACAACACGCTTTCTTTTCTACCCTTTCCCTCTAGCCTTAAAAGAGATATGTACTACTAAAAGAACATTAACAGAGCTTTCCTAAAACTCTGAGAGCACCTAAAACTCTGCCATGAAAGTCATCACTTGACCACAGAATCACAGTCTGGAAAGGACTTTTAGTCTAACCCTCTGTTCATATCTGGATATACTGGTTGAAAAACAAGAGAGCAGCTTTTCCAAAAAGGCCAAACTTTCAGCATTGTACATCTTCCTTAAAAGAAAACATCCAAATGTGCTAAAAGGAAGATGTGCTTCCCTAAGGGTTGGACAATCCAGAGCATGAGCTCCTGGAGAACCCTTTAAAAATCTCCATCTTTACCCACATGTGTAGCTATGATCACAAGACATTGGTAAATTAATTCATTAACAAAGTACTCAGATTCATTAGAA